TTTTTTTTTTAGCTGTCATTCTTCTTCCTATGCTTATTTGTAAATCAGTAAATCAGTAAATTATCAGTAAATTTGCGGATGATTTTTTTTGGGCAGTTATAGAGGGGCAATTGATAACAACAGAACAGTAAAATTGATGGCATCAATGTTGAACAGTTATCAATATAAAGGCAGCTAAAGCGGAGTGGAAAATGAGATTTTTGATCATTCTGATTGTTGAGCAGTTTTTTTCCTTTCTCATTCTGTATCTGTTTGTATCGTTAGCAGTTTCTGACCAACGGGTACAGCAATTTTGCTTATTGTAGTGAAAAAAAATTGAAGTGAAATATCAGCTGATACATAATAAATAATTTCTTCCAAGCACTGATTTTATAATTTTTTTTTTCTTTATTAATTTTTAACTGTTGAATTTTTTTTTTGGTCAAACACTTTTGGTTGCATTTCTTTTGTGTTTTCTGCAACAAAGAGAAACCCTTTAATAAACTAATTCATATGCCTATAATAGGAAATATAACGAACGGAAAGAAACACCACTGTTGTTTTGCTTTTAATACTGTCGTATAGAATTTTTGTTTTCACATCAGTAACACTTATTTTTGATTGAAAATGAAAAAAAAAAAAGAAAAAGGAAAAACACAATCGTAGCATTTTTATTTTTTTTTTCCTACAGTTATTGCTCCTACATTTTTCAAGTTTATTAAGAATAAAAAAAAAAAAGTTATTTTTTTGGTTTAAATTAATCGTTCTCTAAGATAGGCTTCTTTTTTCCCAAATGCACGAACAGTTTTTTTTTTTAGACTTGACTTTTTCAAAAACTGCTTAGCTCTAATGACATTTATAGTTTTTAGTCAGTTTCAGTGTTTGACGACACTTATGTATCTGTTTGACCATTCTTATACATCGTACTTCCGTTTTTTTATTTTTTCGTTTTTGGTAAGAAATAAGACGGCAAGTTTTGGAGATGTGCAAATACTAAACAGAGAGAGAGAGAGAGAAGAGTGGAAAAAAAAAGAAGAAGATAGGTTCAATATAACTGTGAAATATTGACGATAAATACAAATGGAAATCAAAACCCTAAAGTACAGTTTAGGTGTTTTTTTTGTCGTATCACTTTTGGGA